CTGGACTCTGAGCACAGACTTGAAGCAGCCACCTCCTTTGCCCAGCTTTGTGTTTGGAGCAAACCTGGAAGAAAAAGGCTAGGTGGCCTCCTGGCTGGGTGGAGGGAGAAGTTGCTGGATTTCTCTCAAGTTCTCACTCCTCCACCCCCTCTCCTGCTGATGGGTAAAAATGGGTTAACAGAGGGTGGCGAAGTTTACAAGTCGGGGTTACCGTAACAGTAATCACACCCACAAAGTCCATACCTTGACGGCTCGGCTGAGATCCAAGCGAAGCTTCCGAGAGAGAGAGAGAGAGAGAGAGAGAGAGAGAGAGAGAGGGAGAGAGAGAGAGAGAGAATGCGCTCCCCACTGAGCCCTAACGGGGGAGGGGCGGGGGAGAGAGAGAGGGAGAGAGAGAGAGAGAGCTACTTTAAGCAGAGGACAAGAGTCAGGCAAAAGGGAAGCAAAGCCGAGGGAGTGTTCCTAGAAAAATCTAAGTTACCAGTACCTTTGGACTTCTCCGGGGCTGCTCCTTTGAAAACACATCAACAAACCCGGTCCACAGACGGATCTCAGCAGCCTAGGGAGAACTGACTCAAGGGTAGGAAGTGAAGGGTAAACTGGGGGGAGGGGGGCGCAGAGAAGATGAGGCCAAGTTCTAGGCAAGCGGATTATGTCACATTTCCTCCCATTATCAGACTTCCAGGAGGAGAAACCTCGATCTGTGCACAAAATGCCGTAGCCTTGAAGTGGCTAAGACTGTGAAAGCAGCGTTTGAGAAGGTTAACCTTTGCTGGTTGGAATTGAGGGGGGGGTTGGGGAGGCAAATATTTCTGTTTGTGCCCTCCGCCTCTTCCCAGCACTGGCTGTCAATCCCGAGGCTTGTTATCCTCACAAGGCTTCAGTTTGTTTGCTTGATCTCAGCAAGGTTTTCTCCCACAAGTAGAACTATAATTGCTATAATTCCACTGTATCATTTGGATCATTGCGGTACTGTTGTTTTCTCTCCCTCTTTCTCCCCTCCTAACACTGCAATAACGCGCTCCAGTGTTAAATTAGCAGGTTGCGGAAGACCGTACATGAATGAAAGTTTGTTAAAAAAAACAAAAAAAAAAAAAAAGGAAGAAGAAATTAAATAAATAAAGCAGCAAAATGACTTGGCAAAGGGGAGAACACAACCCAGAGAATCCTTGCGTGTAATCAGGACTCATTGTCTTCCCTTCCAATGGCTTCCAAATTGGTCGACAGACTCCAATGAAGTTTATTTCTATTGTTTAAATATATGTTTTGAAGAGGTTGAGCATAATTTAAGGGGACCTGAGGCATCCGGGTGCTACTGGAAGCCCATCACAGCTTTATTTATCTATGTGTATATTACACAATAAATTAAAACCTCTCAAATGGAAAGTGTGTGAGGTTAAACTCTCCTCCAAACAGCCCCCCCCACAAAGACATGGAACTGCCACCCCCTTATCATGTATTTCTTACAAATACAATTTTGAAACGACAGAGTAGAATTAGCTCTCTCAGCACAGAAAGAAAGGGGTTTCTTCCATTTACCTCCTCCAGGTAACTATTATTTCCAGTTGTGGGAACAAGCCCCATTTTTTCACCATAAACAACAGATTTGGACATTTCACTTCCAGCCATTATGTTGTCATTTTTATTTTAGTGACTGAGTTAAAAACAGATGAACCAGAAAACATTGTTTTTCAAACAGCCCAGAAAAACCAAAACAACAGTTTCAGACCTTAAAGATTAAGTTGTTACCAGCAACATACAAATATTTTTTTTCTTTTATCATTTAATTATTTTTATTTTATGTGAATTGGTGTTTTGCCTGCATGTATGTCTCGGTGAGGATGTCAGATCTTGGAGACAATTGTAAGCTGCCATGTGGAAATTTAACGCAGGTCCTCTGGAAGAGCAGTCAGCATTCTTAACCACTGAGCCATCTCTCCAGCCCCCAAAGATTTTCTTAAGTTGCAACTGAAATAAAATTACATTTTATTAGCGGGTAAAGAAAGTATAAAAGTGAGGTGGAAAGAAGGAAAAGTATTTTGCTGGCAGAGTGAATATTAAATTGGGCTAAACTATACATCCTTTTATGCATAATTCCATAGTCAAATTCTTAAAAGTCTGTGTGCTAAGCACATAGATTAAGTTCTTTCTAACATTAGAGGCACCCTTTGATTTTCTTAAGCAAATGATGTACAGGATAGCACACCGTAAGCCCACATTCTAGCTAGATCATGTGGAAACACATTTAGGCTTTGCCACCCCATCCAGAGCCTTAGAAAAGTTTCCTGTAATTTTTTTTTTTTTTTTTTTTACTAATTAATCTGTGTGCAATTGAGTCAGCTGTAGATTCTGAAGTTGGGTATTGAATTGTGACAAATCTCAGGGTCGCTGAGTGCAGAGGAAACTAATTCAGGTCCTCCTTTCCAGCAGATGTACCTCCTTCATTTGGGAAGACTGATTAAAAAATAGTAAAAAATAAAATAACAGAACAAAGAGGAGTAGAGTTTTCACACGGGTCTTCAAAAAAATTCTTTTAAACCTCTTTATATTCCATTAATAGAATTAGATTTAATTCCAGGGATCATTAAGTCAAAATCAGAAATTCTATGTTAACCTCCTCCCCCCTCCCGTTTACAGTGGGTGATTAAAATTAGAATACACCCCCATCAGAAAGTCCGACTTCTTTTAAAAGAAGAACAGCTGCAGGGGGGAGGGGGATGGAGGCGAAGAAGTCTTTCACTGAGCGTCTGAAACCCCTTTGGGCGTTCAGAAATTATCCGTGCATTTGTGACTCTTTTTGTTTAACACGATCTTCCTTGGACTCATTTTCATCCCACTCCCTGCGTGTGTGGAGCCCACTCGGAAGTCACGGAGCCACCCAGCAGCCGGGTCTTGCAGATTTCCTATGCTGGCCCTGCCTGGGAGAGAAAAGTGTCTCTGTACCTCAAAGCTCCCAGCCTTAGGGATGCCGCGGAGGGTCTTTGCCTGGAAGGTCGAGGAAAACCCAAGTGTCTTTATATCTCTGGACTGCCCTGAGACCCCAGGGCTAAGAATGGCCCAGGAGGGGAACAGGTGCGGCGAACGAGCCAAAACGTTAGCCTAAAGCTAGAGGAGACCTTATTAAAACAGCAAAAGGTGAGGATGCAAACAGAACCCAAGAAAGACAGAAGCCTATTCTAGGTACCCTGGAAGCTCAGAGAGGGAATAAAAAAAAAATCAAATGTCAAAGTAACTCGTGGTCTCTTCCCCTTTTCTGCCCCCACCATTGGAGGGTAGGAAAAACGTGTTGACAAGCTAGCAGGAAACCGCGAAGAAACTATGACAGGGAGGGACAGAGACAAATATTTTTCTCTCCGTTTTTTACTACTACTACTACTAGTACTGTGGTGTGGGTATTAGTAGTATTAATGTGCCCGTTCCCAGCCCTTTACCCCCTCAAGTTGTGTTGAGGACTGCTGCCAAGCTAGCCGATCTCTCTGCCACCCACCCAGTAGCATCCAAGAGTTATGTAGATGTTTATGGCCAGGGGGAAAAAAGATCCCAGTTAGGTATCCTTGTATTTTTAAATACTGACTGTAAGCGATTCAAGTATTAATCCTTTGTAAAACGTTTTCTCTTTGACACATTGAAGGGGCTGAGAGAGGAAAACCTGGCGTGGATTCCCCTTCCCCGACCTCTCACCCACCTCCCTCACCCCCAACCCCGCCAATGTCAAGGCCCTAGCTGTCCCTTGGCACCCGCACCTAAGTAGTGAGGGTGTCCGTGCTGGCTCCTCTCTGGGATGGACCGAACTGGAGTCAGGGTTGGATGTAGATTCCCCGCGCCTGCAATGTTTGGGAAGAAACTGGCTTTCCCTAAGGCACTCCTCTTTCACTTTTGCTGCTAGAGGCCAGGTCACAGAATTCCAATTCTCAGGCATTTCGACTTGGTTCAAGGTGAATATCAGTCCCTTCTGACCTAGGAACCTGAGAACCACACACCTTCAGTGGGGGGCGGGGGGGGCTCCTCACCCCAGGCGCTGCTTGAGGATGAATAGCCCGGGGGGGGGGGACAGGGGGGGGGGGGGGGGGGGGCCGGACTAGCGGGGGGGGGTTGGGGGGGGGGGGGGGGGCGGTGGGTGACAGACTAACCAAGATGAATTTAGGGAGGTGGGGAAAGACAGAAGCGTTAGTGGAGAAAGGGGACTCTCCCAGTTTCGGCACCAGCCGCCCCTCTGAGATGCTTGGACTCACACTCGCCAGTCCCTTTCGCCTCTCTGGACACTCCAGGGAAGCCTGTGAGCCTTTGGCAGAGCTCTCTGTGTTTAAGGGCCTTTTTCTCGTTCCAGAGTTAAAAATCGGAGACAGAGGATGTTGGGAACCGATCTGAACAAGAAAGTAACAGCTAGGCTCTGGCTGAAGACCAATCGCTCTAGTCTCTGAACCACAAGAGAAAACCAAACGCTCAGACAGCACGTTTCCCCCTGGCAGGTAGGAGGCCCATTTGCCCTAGACGGGATGGTGACACAACAGCGCTGAGGTCAAGACTCTGTCCTAGGAGAACAAAGTCCGCTTTTAAAAGTGCCAAGCCGGTCTCAACTTCAGCCTTCCAGCCTGGCCTCCTTCAGGGAGCTAGGTCCTCTGGACGCTAAAAGGGGAGCTGAAAGTCCAAGTAGCCCCCACCAGCCTAGCCCCCAAATGAGCTAGAGGTGGGAGTAACTTCAAGAAGGCCTTAAAGAAGGAACTGCAAGCAAACGACGGCAAACTTTGCAAGTTGCTCGTCTAAAGAGCGAGGAGGGAGAAAGAAAGAAAAAGCAGTTCGGCTCTGGTGCGTGCCAGCTGCTAGTCCCCTGCCCCCACCCTCGCTGCCCCCTCCAGAATCCAGTTCGCTCTTTGGGCCTTGCCGGCGGGCCGACGCAGCCCGGCCTCTGCCGAGAGCCAATCAGAGAGCTCCTCTCAGCACGTGGAGCAGAGAGACTCCAGAGCTCCGCGCCGGCTGCTCACTACACTTGTTACCGCTTGTCCTGAGCGCGGAGAGGACGCACTCAGGCTGAGGCCAGGGTAGAAGCCCGAACCCGAGGGAGGCAGAGAGGGACAAAGATCGCAGTGATACCTGTTAGAATCCGCCCTCCAAACCACCCCCACGCCCCCCATCCCTCCAAACGCACACCTCCATCCCACCTGCCAGGAAGAGGCAGCCGGAGGTTCGCGCTCTGAGCCTAAGGCAAAAAGCTCTAGCCATGAGCAATCAGTACCAGAAAGAGGGCTGCTCGGAGAGGCCTGAGTGCAAGAGTAAGTCTCCAACTTTGCTCTCCTCCTACTGCATCGACAGCATCCTGGGCCGGAGAAGCCCGTGCAAAATGAGGCTTCTGGGAGCCGCACAGAGCTTGCCTGCCCCGCTGGCCAGCCGCACTGACCAGGAAAAGGCCATGCAAGGTAAGGTTGTGCCCGTCAGGCACCTGCAGAAGGACGTTGGGCATCGGTTTGAAATGTTTGAAATGTGGAGACCAGGAGCCTGGGACTTGCCAAGTTGGAGACATAGGGAAGAGAGGGGACAACCAGGGGGATGCGTGCCTTAAGGAGGCACTGTCTCTACCTCCTCTTCCGGAAAAAAAGCAGAGGCCCAGCTTCGCTCGGAGGGTGGGGCTCTTAAACGCTTAGAGTTTAGTCCTTTAAAAGTCCCTTTTGTTGGCCCTGGGTGTGCCCTGAATAGCGCTGACAGGTACGAAGCACAGGGTGCTCTTTAAAAGCCTTTCGAAGCAACTTGATGGAAAGCTGGAAACCCAAAAGCTAAGGAACGATGAGGGGTTTGTCTTCAGGCAAGGTGAATTTTGGCCTTTCGCCTTGGGAAGATTTTTTTATACGCAACATCATGTTTCTTTTTAGTTTTAAAGTGTACATTATTTGTGACCTTTTAAAAACCAAGCGTTGCAGAAAACATTTTCCTAAAGTTCTCCAAACACAACTTACGGTCTTTGAAATGCGTGAAATGTGTGGCTTACTTAAGTGTTACTTTTTTTTTCTACCGCATTATTATTACTTTTTTAAGAGTTGAGATGTCCAAAGGGTTTTCTTTTCTGAAATTAAAAAAAAAAAAAATTTTTCAGAACAAGTGTAGTTTGGTCCCCTGAACCTCTCATGCTCAAAAGTTTCGCCTTGAGCTGTTTGCGGAAGCTTTGCAGGAAAGAAGTGTTGGTGTCTTTTAAACCCTAAAACGGGCGATCCAGCAGCAACACTGTTTGGAAGACGGGAACGAAAGGCTGAGAATGAGCTGTCTAAAATAAACCTGACTTTTCCCTTTTCCCTTTTTAGCCTGCAAGGGCCCCTGTGCCAGGCACTTTCTCCAAGGGAAGGAGCGGCCTCTGCTTGTCGCACTCCATCCCTGCCCCCCACTCCAGACATTTTTTACTAAATTTTCCCCAGAATGTTTTTTTTTTCTTTACCATTTTGGGCGAGGAAGCCTTGCCTCCGGCCGCTGTGGGCTGTTGGGGCATGGCGGGTGCTCAGGGCTTCGAGGCCCAGGCCGCTTCGTCCCGCAGGGGTCGCCCGCGGGGCAGCGCCGCTCTTGCTAGCCCGGAGCCCCTGTGACAGAACAGCTGACAAAGGTCAAGCACGAAGTTTTCAGAGTTGGGCTGATTTTTTCAAGTTGTTCGATTTATTTTAATTTATTTTTTTAAAAAAATTCGTCCCCGCTCCCCAAAACGGAGAGGATAGAAAGAGAAAGAAATATGAGAGAGGGAAAGTGGAATCATGAAAGGGGAAAATAAAAAACCAAAAACTAGGAACGAGAGTAAAGGCGAAAGAGGGGAGGAAAGGAAAGGAAAAGAGCGGAGGGAAAGTAGACCGAGAAGGAAAGAAAAATAGAGGGGGACAGAAGAGAGAAAAAGGGAGATCAAGGGCAGAGGGAAGAAGGGAAGAAGGTAAAGGGAGAGAGAAGAAGGAAGCAGGAAAAGCGGGCCGGAGGGAGCTGAATTCGAACATAGGAGGTTCAGAGGCGGCGGCGTAGCCGGCTCGCAACAGCTGCGAGGCAGGGGAGTGGAGTGGAGTGGGGTGTGAGGGGGGGTGCACAGGGTCGGGCCAGCACGCTGACCGGTGTCTCTTGCCCCGCAGGCTCTCCCAAGGGCAGCGGCGCCCCGTTCGAGGCCGAGCTGCACCTGCCTCCCAAACTGCGGCGCCTCTACGGTCCGGGCGGGGGCCGCCTCCTCCAGGGCG